TGTTGCTTTTTAAAAATTGTATTCTGGGTGAAAAATAGTGAAGGAAGGAAGCAGTGATATCTTGGTACTGCATAACTGCATTTCAATCACAAAAAGGCAGCTAAGCACCTGTTTAGCCTGGGGGTTGTTGTCAAAAGCATTATGAACACAGGATTTCATGAAATCAGTAGAGATACTCTCAGGGGTCATTTCGTAGAAAAAGAGGTGCAGGAGCATAACTTATTTGCATATGCCACACCCCCTGACATCACCGGAAGTGTGTCAGAAGGCAACACCCACCGCTCAGGCTCCACTGGACTGTTTTGGATTGCTAGCTATTGGGGGGGGGAACGTGCAGATCTGTCCTCGCAGAGGAGGGAGAGCTTGTACCTGAATAAAACTTGGTCTTAAAGGTGCCACTGGACTGTATTGGATTGCTAGCTATGGGGGGGGGGAATGCACAGATCTGCCCTCACAGAGGAGGGAGAGCTTCTACCTGAACGCTGGAGGGGGGGCTCTGCAAATTACCTGGCTGCTTCTTGCTCCTTGTGGCCCGACTGAGGGCTGCTGGGAGCAGGGGTGGGGCTTGTTGCATGTGCCCGCCCCCTGGGCTCTTTACTGCCGGAGCTCTGCTCCTGTGCGCTCCCACAGGAAATGACCCCTGGATACTCTACCCAGCTTTTAGTTGTTGAATAATTTTTAATAGAAGATTTAAGTAAGACATGAAACCCTATATGAGAAAGACAAACATATTCATTGTTTTAAAATGTTAACAGCATGAGAAAAGAATCTACCTTTGAGTAAACAGGGTTAACCTAGAGTTATGTAAAATTTTGAATTCCTTTCAAGCAAAATGAATTAGGTCAGTTTGTGCTGGTCAGAGTATGCGGTTTTCTTTCCGTTTGGTAGCTAACCCCACATATACATCCATGGTCACAGCACAAGATTCCAGTATGTTTCTAGAAATGGGAATTTTGTGCAAGTATATGTTTTGGTCTCAGTATCATATGTTCACAAAGCCATGGAAATTAGTCCAGAGAGTTATGGTAAATTTCTTTTTGGAATCTGTTGTTGCAGAGTTGGCTTTGAACAAAGACTGCTAGTTAAGTCAAACTCAGCTGGTCAAATGCCCGTGGATTGAGGAGAACTTAAAATGCAAAGGCTGAACTTCTCTTCCCTGAAATCAGTGCTAGAATATTTAAAACTTTGTTTCCCATGATAAAAGGTTAGTGTGTTGACCCACTTACTGCTTGCTCAGTACCTCCTGCTATTCATTCTGGGATACTGTGTCCTTGAATGCTCTGTGGCTGTTTTTCCCCCTTCCAAAGTACTCTGTTTATTCACTAAGCATTCTTGGCACCTATTGTATGCATATTGGAACTGTTACACTATCAGATCAGATATCAGAATGCAAATTTATGGAATGTGTTGCCAAAGTAACTGGGGGGGGTACACATTTGTGGCCTTTGCACATGCACCTCTTGACCCTGAGAAGGGACCATGTTTATATACAGATGCAGTCTTGGGCCATATTTCCAGAAGTAGGGGGGTGGGAGAGAAGAAGTCAGCATGGAACTGAACTGGGTTGGATCTTTACTGAAGACAAAAACAGAAAGGAAAGCAAGAAAGTAGGGCAGATTAAAAAGAAAGGAGGACCACACTTGCCATTACCATTATACATTTTTGATACAGCATCTGTTGTCACAATTTAGACTTTTAAAACATTCATGTCAGGAACACGTTACAAGATTTAAATGAAAGGCATTTAGTCCTTGAGTTACTTCAGTTACATCAGTGTGATTATTAGAGTGTTGGGCAGGGTGGGTGGGGGACCTGGGTTTAGATCCTCACTTTCCATTAAACTTGGTGACCTTTTGGACCAGTCGTTCTCTCTCAGCCTAACCTATTTCACAAGGCTTATAAAATATAGGAGGAGAAAGCCATGTATGTCATCCTAAGCTCCTTGAAGGAAGTGCAAGATAAAAATTCAATAATATTCAGTAATATTGGGAAAGTGTTCACATGGTTTGAGCTTTCATGGCCCTACAACGAAACGTTTGTGTGACTACTGCAGTTTATATCTGTGAGCCACCAATCTGAAGCAGTCACATAGGCTGTAACTGGAATTTCGATAACAAGGGGAAATCTCTACTACTTTAGCTCCTTGCCAGTGTTTCAGAGTCAGTTACAGGTGACCATTTGCCATAGGGCTGCCAGGTCCCCCGAGGAGGTGGGGGGTTTCCCACCGAAAGGACCCCCAACCCACCGGTCCGGATCCAGTTGACGGGAGGAACCCAACCCCCAAAGTGGCCAGATTGGGTTGACGCGCCCGGCATGATGACATCGCCCGGAAGTGATGTCATCATCCTGGGCATGTCTAGCAACCAGCCTGAAAACTCTACGGTACCATAAAGTTTTTAGGCTGATTGCTAGAGTGTCACCCGGCAACGTGCCCAGCGTGATGATGTCACTTCTGGGTGATGTCATCCTGGAAAGCGTGCAGGACTCCCTCCCTATTATAAAGGTAGGACTTGGCAACCCTAATTTGCCAAGTGGTGAGAAGCATCTTACCACTTCTGTATCTGATCAGGAATCTGGAGAGGTAAGACTTTAGGGTTGCCAACTCTGGGTTGGGAAATTCCTGGTGATTTGGGGGTGGAGCCTGGAGAGGGCAGGGACCTCAGTGGAATGTAATGCCATAGAGACCATCCAAAACATCCATTTTCTCCAGGAGTCTGGGAGATCTCCAGGCCCCACCTGGTGGCCAGTACCCTGAGAGAATTGGTAAAATTCTCCAGATTGCTTGGTAGGGCAGTAAAGACGGCCATATTACCAAGTGCACTGTGGCAAATTACTGCTTGGTAAATGGTCCTCTGTGTTAATTCCTGCATTTGGACTTGTTCTGAAAGACCCCTGAATAAGTGGGTTGTAGAACTGAAAGAGGCAGTACAAAGGCAGTTTTGAGCTCCTGGCATATGTAGTTTCTGCTGGGAGCTCATAGATAATTTGTTCCTGAAATGTTCCATTTAGATCACTGCTTGCTTCAGACTGAGATATAAGCATTGTATCAGACTCCTATATAAGCATTATAGCATGGATTGGCTCAACATGAATAAAGAAAGGAACATACCAGTTGCAGAAAGTCACACCACAAGGTTCAGATTTACTTAAACTCATCCTACCTCTCTGCACATACCATAAAAAGAAGTGTGTGTGCATGTGTGAATTCAAGTGAGCTTGTGTGTTACTTATTTAAATTATTTTTTAAATTTAAAACATTTTTATGCTGCCTTTTACCCGTTCAGGATCCTCAAGGCTTGCTAGCGTGTACATAGTGTTTTTTGCTTGTTCAAAGGCTTCATGTGTATTATCTCAGCAATCCTTACATTGTATTTATTCCTCCCATTATGCAGAGGTGAAGACACTAAGGGATAGGAGTTTGTCAAAGACCACTTAGTGAATCTAGGATTTCTTAGATTTGTCACCATTAGGGGTGTGCGCTCTGTATATACAGGGCCAAAGAAATACCCAACAAAAATCCTATTGGTGTCAGGTATTTATTCAGCCAAATACAGATAAGACAATCTGGTTTGGCTACCAAAATAGCCACGCTTAGCATTTAAAAATTTAAATGCCTTCTGTTCACTCGCCGAGTCATACCGGTGTGGTGGCGTGACTCAGCAAGTGAACTTAAGGCATTTAAACTTTAAATGTGCTCTGTTCACGCACCGAGTCATGCTGCTGCCACAGCATGACTCAATGAGTAAACCAAACATTTATTTATTTATCAAATTCGACTTTGAAGCCTCCTTCCCCTGAAAAAACAGGGCTCAGGGCAGCAAACAACAGCGATAAAAATACACTTTATAAAAGTTTGAATTAAAATAATACATAAAATACATTTCAGAGCAACCTAAGTCAGTCTGATGGCGATAATTCCTGGAAAAATTATTGCCTCATAGAGGAGGGAGGTGGGGGAAAAGAAAGGAGTGCCAGATTAGAGGACCGTCGCTGCCCTCAACCAAACGCCTGGCAGAACATCCCTACCTTACATGCTCTGCAAACGGCAACAAGTCCCGCAGGGCATGGATGTTATTTGGCGGAGAGTTCCACCAAGTAGGGGCCAGGGAACAAAAAGCTTAAATGCCTATTGAACTCACCAAGTTGCACCACTGCCACAGCACAACTCGGCAAGTGAAATTCTCCATTATACCCTAGGGGACGGTCCCCATAGGGTATAATGGAGCCGAATAAAGTCAGGTTTCCCAAGTATTTACCCAAATACCAATACAATACCAGTACTGTTTTTTGGGAATATTCAGAAATATTTGGGTCCAATACACCCAAATCGGGAGGGGGGACATATTTTTTTTTGTACACCCCTAGTCACCATATTCTTACATCACTCTAGGAAATTAGGCTTTCAGAAAAGTATCCTATCCTTGATTCTTTGCTAATCTAGTGAGTCTGCTGGTACTACATGCATTATCCCCTGATTCTGTTCCTTAAAAAGTAGGGTCTCAAAACTTGTATGTGCTTCCAAGCCATGTCATCATGCCCTGTGTGCATACAAATAATTTCTGGCTGATGATTGTGCTCCCTAATGTCCATATGTTTTGCTCACTGATGATCCCTTCCCAATATTGTAATGGCTTTCTTTACGTGAAACTACACATTATACATGAGATCCATGTCTGTATCTTCTGGCATTTTTTTTTTAAGGCTTCTGAGCAGCCACAACTGAAATGGAGTCCTGAAGCAGAGGGGTACCTGCCTTTTTTTTTTCTAGTGCTGCTAGTAGCTCCTTCAAGGATTGCCTGGCATGGAGGGAAAGGGCTAACTTCCTCTTCTCCCAACATGATCTCAGTCTAATTTGGGACCTGACATCCCCCCCCCCCAGTTTTGAAGCTATTAAAAATGCTAGAAGATCCAATCATGGATGTCCTACATAATATATAGTTTGACTCTAAATGATAAAGCCATTCACATTTGTTGTTGTTTTTGTTTCCACCCCCCTTCAGGTTATGACCACTGGAAGGGGCAGGTGCTAAATTCGGATGAACTTCATGAACTGTATGAAGGATTGAAGCTGAACAATGTAAATAAGTATGACTATGTACTTACGGGTATGTATAAGTCTTTGTTTCTTTGAGAATGACCCTGTGCATCCTAATGAGCCTGAAATATCTCTGCTGAAGTAGAATTAATTTTAGGTCAACACTTAATTCTGGAAAGGCTGGGAGAATTGGCACTGGGGTTGGTGAGGGGGGAATTACATGGTCATGCAACCATATTTCTTAACCATGGTTAAATGATCACCTAGTATTTTGCCAACTCTTGCTGTGGAAGAAGCATTTTTAAGAAGAAACTCTACAGAAATTTTATGATGCACAGGTTTGCTCCCAGCCAGTATACCCAGTCTGACTTTTTAATAGATGATTAACAGAGTTCCACTTCATTGCATACAGTACATTTGGTTTTAATTTCATTTTCTGTGTTCCGTACTGCAGTGAATAAGCTGCTTCTAAAGCTTGCTGGATGAAATTGATTGCCATATTGATTTATGTGACTTCCACAAGAAAGGAGGTGTTTTTAAAGCCAGAGATAACGGGAAAGTGTAATGATTTGGGTCCAGAATTATAACCCATAAAGGCAACTCTGGCATGAAGGGTATTGCACAGCTGACAAATATTTTTTCCCCTTTGGTTTCCATGGAGTTCTTGGAGGTAAAGAAGGTATTTAATAACAAAGTGAATGAGATTGCATTGGCAAAGTAATTAATTTTCAACATAAACTGATTCCAGTTCTTCCAAAGATATTTCTGATTTTTTTTCCCCTTCAGGCAAAGGTTAATTTGCAAAAGGACAGAATGGCTTCACTAAAGCTGGATGGGTGACAGCTTTCTTTTCTCCTAATGTAGTTAGCCAGCTAAGAGATTGTCTATATAGTATTATTTTATCAAGGCACACACGCGCGCAGACACACACAAACATGCTGTAGTGGCAGGGTTGTTTTTTTTGAGCCCCCGGAGGGGATTTTTTATTATTTTTTTGTCCAAACTACAAAAACTATCACAGAAAAGGGGAAGGGGGACTACATATATGGGACAAAGTATAGAAACCCACTACTGACTAAAAACCCAAGAGAGGAGATCCTCACTAGCTTCTTGGGTCACTAGGATCTTGGGTCAGTCACAAGCTCTGGCACAGCTGTCCTTGAAAAAGAGCAGTTTGTGTCAGAGTTCTCTCAGCCCCACCCACCTCACAGGATGTCTGTTGTGGGCAGGGGAAGGGAAAGGAGTTTGTAAGCCACTCTGAGACTCCAAGTGAAGGGCGGGGTATAAATCCAATCTCTTCTTCTTCTTCTTCTTCTTTACATCAAATCTTCACTTCATTTAGATCAATATAAACTGAGTCAGACATTTAAGTACTCTTTCCTTTTCATTAGCTCTTAAAACCTAACTGTCTAAGAACAGTACCCCCAATCATCCCCATTCACAGTTCTCAAAGGCACAATTCAGAGTCTTTCAGCCTTTACTTCTCTTTTCCTCATCTTTTCCGCAACTTATAAGAATTTTTTGGGGCGGCTGCCCCTTGCTCCGTCAGAAAGTCCTCTCCGGAAGAACCCGAGTCCAGCTCGCCACTAGACTTGCTGTCCTCTTCTTCTTTCCCGTCCTCTGGTCTTCCCAGCTGAGCCCTTAGGAATTCTTGAGCTTTCAGAACAGAGTCAATCTTTTCTTTCTTGTCCTTAATCTTGAAAGTGACACATTCTGGAAATAGCCATTTATATCCAATTGCATTTGTCTGAAGGAAAAGCACAAGCTCTTTGTACTTCTTTCTCCGTTGTCTTGCTTCAAATGGAATATCTTTTAGCGTTCTGATAGTATTTTCCCCCACTTTCAGGGGTACTCCAGAAACTGCTTTCAGGATTGCATCCCTCACATGCCTCTTCGAGAATCTTACAACAATTTCCCTAGGCAGATTATTTTTCTTTATATAGCCTGAATATAATCGATAGACCACATCCATATTGCTCTGCAACCCTTCTGCCTTCATTTCTATCACCGGGGCTAGCAGTTCACTCATGACTTCTTTAAGATTCTCCCCCGATTTTTCTGGCATGCCCTGGAAGTGAAGAATCATATTGGCCTTTTCCATTTGCACTTGTAACAGTTGATCTTCCATGGAGATTTGTTTTCTTTCCAGCTTTTGCACTTTTTTCTTCACCTTCTGTGTAGTTGCAGCCACTTCCTTTACCTTCTCAGTATCTTGCTTCATTATTTGCAGGATATCATTTATCTGAGTTTGTTGAACAGTAATACTTTGAGTTACTATGGACATCTGTTCCTTGAAGTAATTCAGCTGTTCCAGCAGAGGACGCATATACTCTGCTATAGACTTAGCCACGTCACTGGTAGCTTCCAGTTTCGGGCTGTCTGAGCCTTTCGCTTTCAAAAGTTTTTCTCTGTCCTTTTTCCCCGCCATCTTTATCTTTTGTTTACTTTTGCAACTTTTTTACAAGTCTCTGAATGTGTGCTTGACCGCTTAGATTCGCTTTGGTAAGTACTTCTCGACAGTTTTCTTCGCATTTTCTTCCGCTCCCCCCCCTCAATTGCTCATAAATTCTTGGACATGGGAGGCGTTGCTCCCACGCTCGCCTTTTCCCGTTCGGTGGGGTGGGGTGGGGAGCTATCTTTTTCCCTTTAAAAACGCTTTAAAACTGACTCACGTTCATAATTGGTCGTTCGACCTCGCTTTCAACTTTCATTTCTGCTGCTCGATCGCCCACACTTGCCCCGGTCAGCGTCACTAAATCCATTCGGTCTCACAGCATGGAGAACCATCGGAACAAAGAGGTGCCTCAATTCTCCAGCATTCCTGTTAGCGTATGAAGCGTCTAGTAATCGCACATACTAGGTTGCTAGTGCTGACTATTCACAGTAGATTTATTTACACAGATATACACACAGTCTCTTTGCACTCTGAGACTCAAATCGCTGTACAATCCGACAGAGTGCTCCACAGCAAGGCATTCACCAGAGTGAACGTCTCTACAAGTACTGTACACAATATATACACATCCAGCACCAATCAGGGTCCAGTGCTGACTCATGGTGACATCATTTGGCTGATGCATCTTAGATGCAATCTAGACCTCGTGACATGATCATATGACTCCTTCTGCTATCAACCAGATCAAGATGATCTACACCATTTTACCTTATAGGCTGTCATCTTGTTCCCATACATGATAGTATGCTGACAATTCCGCCCTCAAAGAGGCAACCTCTTAAAAGTTCCATGGCCAGAGTCCCTTCCCTGGGTCTCTGGGGGGGTAAGCGAGCCTGCGCACCCCCTCCTTCAGCTGGAGCGCAGCTTCACCCCCAGGAGCGTCCTGGAGGTGAGTCTGCTAGCGTGCCGCCATAAACCGGAAGTCTGTAGTGGCAATTTTTAATTGGAAGTCAGAGGAATCAGAAGTCCTAAAAACTCAGAACCAGAAAAGTCCTAAAAAAAGCTTGTATAGATACACGAACATGATCTAGAAAATATCAATCTAGATATTGTAAGACAGATGAAGCTGCTCTGTATCTCTCTGTTCTCTCCCCCCCCCTCCCCCCCGGTCTCAGCATGAGGTAAAAGCAGAGAGAGAGAGCAGGCGCTGCCATGATGTTACAGCTTGTTGCTTGTTAGACTTTGTTAGGAAAAGAAAACAGAGAGAGACTGAGTGGCAGCAACTCTGTATCTGTAATAGCATTTAGGTTGGGCCTAAGAGTAGTTTGGGAAACAATTTACTACAATTCTAGACTTAGAGGAATTGGAATCTGACTTTATTTATTTACTGGGAATAAGGCCCATGGTGGAAATAAATACAACGAGCTCTAGAAAGAGGCTCTGGGTGGATGCCCTGGCCTTGGGCACTCAGCATCAATTTGCTGTGGTGACCTCAGCAAGGAATAAGGACACAGAGCTTACTGTTTTCTCCAGGGAATGTGATCTCTGCCATTTGAAGAGCAGTTGTAATTCTGACCAGGGCTGGCCTGAGGTTTTTTTGCGTACTAGGCGAGGCTAGCTTGTGGCGCTCCTCCCCAGGTGAGGCTGCCTTGTGGCACCTTCCCAATCTGGCAGGGACGCAGATGTACTCTCCAGTCAGAGTTCGGGGCGGATAAGGAGCGACGTTTAAAGCTGGTTTCAGTCCAGAACACTTCGCTCCGGGCAGTGTTCCGCGGTTGTAGTTGGCACCTTCAGGGCGAAGAGAGTCGGCTTGAAATCGGGGCGCAACTCGGGGTGGTGAACCAGTGGCAGTTCTGCCGTCCACCTCTCCTCCGCATGTGTACTCCACCCACATACACGCTTTTGAGAGGGGGGTCAAGAGCGACCCAGGAGAGCTCCTGCCCTGCCGTGGACTGGGCTCGCCGTTCAGGCGCCGCTGGATTCTGGGCTTGAGGGGGCATCTCCGGGTAGGAACCTGGGGGCTTGAGGGGGCATCTCCGGGTAGGAACCTGGGGGCGTCCTCTCTCCTGGGCAGGGCTGTCGCAATCTTCCCTGCCATTGCTCAGAGGAGGGGGGGGGGGGAGCCCTGCTGGGAGCTCAGGCAACTCCCGCAGGGCAGGGCGGCAGGTTTCCAGGAAGCCTCCTGGTGAATGCTCGTATGTCAGTCCTTTCCTGCAAAGGGACCCAGAAGTACCTCATGCCTGGGAAGGAGTGTTCCCAAGGCGGCCGCGGGTGCTCTGCAGCAACTAGGCAGTGCTGAGGTGAGTCCAGCCACCCCTCAGAGGCTGACCAGAGTCTCTGATCAGAAGCCTGACACACACCCTGCCGCCAGTCTCTAAGGGGCGACCCGACTCAAACCCGGCTGGTCAAGAAGGACCTGGCAGCTCAGCAGTGAACTCGTGGCCATTCTGCGCAAGCCCTGAGGAGGGGTGGAAGAGCAAAGCAGAATGTTCCTCCTCTTCCTACCAATTGCGAGTCTTTCCAAAGGGCAAGGGGCCCTGCTCAGAAACAGCCGCCACTTGGTGCCCCAAGGAGCAGACCCAGAACCAACGGCATTCTGGAAACATTATGCCAATCTTCTTTGCCGCCTTCTCAGAGAACAAGAGTTGAATTTTGCCAAGCAGGTTTTTACACAC